CTAAACTTTACACATTATATAGGCTACACTAACGTGACGTTTAGGCGGTTCGTTTAACTATTATACGTGATGCACTTTTTATAGGGAGGTGGTTAATGAAAGTGTTCCAAAATGCGACATTAATTTCTTGATGACCTAATATATGCTGAATGATCAGTCATTTCACATGAATTATCAAAAGATGCCTGATTTGCATAATAATGAACTGATGTAGTGATTTTAAATTATATTTTGAACAGTTGTTTTGACTATACATAACTACAATATTACAAATTCTGATCAGCATATAACTGTCTTATGCCACACAGTGTTTTTATTCAAGGTATATTGTAATTCTTACATCTGGAAGTTACTAAAAGACTCTCCGATGTGGGGTCATACAGTAGATGTTTTTGGTACTGTGCTATTCTCTCAGGGTAAAGAACTATAAACAGTTCGCTTATCAATAACTGTTATGGAACTTCATACTTTAAAACCACGCCACTTGATTGTAGTTCGTGTTAAGTACATTAACCATTTTATTACGTGAATTGAATAGGAATTTATTTATATTTACCTATCAAAAAAATATTTAAAATTTTACGTTAATCCCAAATATCTCTTCCCCCTTTATTAATTGGCAATCTCAGTACAGAGAGCTTTTATGACACCATTCTTATTTTAAATGATAATATCCTGTTGGCGAAAGAGAGGTACTAAGATGTAATTCACATTATACTATTGTTGAGGTGTGGTTAAAGTGGTAGATATATATTTTAAAGTGATTATTGCAACTTGTTGTTATTTTAAAGATTTTACATATATGTTTTATCTAACTGCAGTTTACAGTTTTGTCAAGTCAATAAGAAACAAATTGTCTTAATTTTCTTCTATTTGATTTAAACTTAATCTTGATGACCTTTACCAAAACAGTAGAAATAATGACTTAAGGTTTGTTTTTGTTTGTACTAGTTTATGGATTGTATACACGAGAAGCAAATGGATCTATGAAATGTCACCATCTTGCTTCATCCAGAATATATTCGAAACAGCAGTTGTATCGTCGCATGCTAGGACATTTGTCATCAGTATACTGTGTTCTGTTTGATAGAACAGGAAAATACATTTTTACAGTAAGTTTTAATTTGGTGCATAAATTAACATTTATAATAACATTATACATAACTCATTTATAGTACAGTCAAATCTAGAATTGAAATATAATTAAAAATTGTTAAAAAAATTAATGCTGTTGCTAGAATACTTCTATAAGAATTGAAATAAAGAATAACTCATAATGGCTGGAGACGGCTTAAATGGGTAATGAAGAAAAACTTTAATATAAGTTTAACATGACAGCAAATGTACAACGTTTCGACAAGGTTTTGTCATCCAACCAACACCCCGGGGTGCCTAGATACCTCTTCTAAGTTTCACAACAGTTCTGGTCATGTGACTTCT